GCATAGTCTCACTATCGAACTCTTCCGCAATTCCTCCCCCAGCAACGCTTCGCCGTCCTACATTCGCATGCTCTCGTGACGCTGCTGCACGATGAACACGCTCCTGTACACCGCCGACGCTAGCCGTACTAAACCGAGTTGGTCTTCGCAGGACCCCACGCGACATCAACCCATCAAACTCCTCGTCATCGCTATTTCCGCCATCGACAGCCATATCCCACGCACTAGTACCTCTCGCAACTTGCTCAACATTCTCTACACGTGGGGAAGGGTGCTCACGACGCCGACGCGAGCGCAATCCCTCCAACATTAGCTCGTATTCAATATCACTAATCTCACCACGAGAATGACGAGCCACGAGATCCTCCTCTAGAGTGCGCAAATTGTCAAAGTAGTAGGTAGAGTGAAGGAGCCATAGCTAGGAAAGCACTAGCTAGGCAAGAAAGAGTTAGGCAAAAGAGAGTGCTTGAACTAGCAAGAATGAGGATACAAATAGCAAACCCTAGAAGGGTTGTACTCGCTATAGAGCACCCCACTACAGGCTAGAACAATAAGATAATATTCTGACACACCCCCATAGCCAAAGTGGGGTGTAATCAGCAGAGCAGGCAAAGCAAAAACAAGCTCAGGGTGGATCACAATGTCACCACACATTCTGAGCACAAGTTCAAGAAGAAATAGTTTAGAGTTCACAATTCTAAGCAAAGCTAGTGGTAGTCACAACGGGCAAGTGAGGAGGAGGAGGGAGAGTGAGGGGAGAGGAGACAGGAGGCGACGGCTGAAGCTGCAGACACACGGGCAACAGGAGGCAGACTGGCACAGCGGCTACCGGACAGCGCCCGGACTACAGGGGTAACAGGCCCCGCGGCTCAAATAGCGGCGGACGGGCAACGGACCCACGGGCGGCTGGCACAGCTGGCTACGACTGGGCTACCGGGACAGCGCCCCGGACTACAGGTGCTGCTGACGACAAACTGGCAACCTCCGCTCATCCTCCCGCACACAGTCCCACCCCCCTTATACACACCCACTGCTACACCACTAGCTCTACTCCCACGCACCCCCCTTAAACCCTAAACCCAGTCTCCCACACAACCACCCCCCTCAGCGACAGCTGCAGCAGTGGGAGACGAAGGAGGAGGAGGAGCAGGGGACCGCGCATACTCGCCACCCCCATACCCGTCACCCCCATACCCTGAGTGTGCGGTAAGCAAGCTCAGGTGTGCGCGAAACGTACACAAGCGTGCGGGAAGCGAACTCGGGTGTGCGGTAAGCAAACGCAGGTGTGCGGGGAGGGGGGCCGCAGGGCGACACGCGGGTCGACGGGGACGGGCACACGGGTCGCCGGAGGCGGCGCGCGGGTCGACGGGGCCGCCAGGAAGGGCGACCGGGAGCCGCGCGCGGGTTGACGGGGCCGCCGCGAAGGGCGACGAGGAGCCGCACGCAGGTCGACGGGGACGGGCGTGCGGGTCGACGGAACGCGAAACCTCCGCGTGCGCCCAGGGTGCGCGGTGGGCAGAAAACCGCCACGCGTCCCGAGCGCATGGCGTGCAGAATACCGCCGCGCGAAGCAGGAAACCGCCGCGTGCCTCGGGGCGCACGGTGGGCAGAAAACCGCCGCACGCCCCGAGCGCGCGGTGGGCGGAAAACCGCCATGCGCCCCGAGCACGTGGCGGGAAGAAAATAAACGTCGCACGCCACGGGGCGCGCGACAGACAGGATAGCAGCGGAAGCAGGTGGGCCCACAGGCCAGGAGTGTACTAGCTCTGATAACATGTCAAAGTAGTAGGTAGAGTGAAGGAGCCATAGCTAGGAAAGCACTAGCTAGGCAAGAAAGAGTTAGGCAAAAGAGAGTGCTTGAACTAGCAAGAATGAGGATACAAATAGCAAACCCTAGAAGGGTTGTACTCGCTATAGAGCACCCCACTACAGGCTAGAACAATAAGATAATATTCTGACACAAATTACCGGCCTCCACGTTCGCCTCCTCAGTACTCATCCTCTACGACGTCTCTATAAGGTACCACAAATTAAAATAAAGTGCCCCTTCCTTAAATCCCTCGTCTCGGGGTCACCTCACAAGGGTCCTCAGACGAGTGGTAATAAATTACCAAACGCCCTATCCTTGGGTCCGATAACGTAACTGGAGGGAAATCAAGAGAGGTTCAACTTAGATTAATAAGCGCCCTTCACTAACGCCGCACGCCAAGGCGAGTATACGAACGCGAATATCAACGACGACGGAAATCTATGCGTGTTCGTTCCACGCTCACCGCACCATGAAGGAATCTATTAGAGAGCGTAGCGATAACGAGAGAGTTTCTGCTATGGGAATGATGTTGCGCCAGCAACTTGGTAGAGTTTCGGTAGCATTTGCCTCTAAGGACTTGGTGAGAATTGAAGTAGCATTTTGGACTTCACTAGGAACATAGAAAATATATATCAAACACACAAGCAACACAAACATATATAGGCAGGCGAGGGTTTCACAAGAGGTTGCGTGGGCGCTGCGAGTAACCCAACCCCACGAAAGTGGTGTGTGGGTGAGCGAACGCGCCTCGCCAATTTCCCAACCCAACTCAGCATCGACTTCTCGCTTCCGTGCACACCACTCCACCAACACAGCAAGGAGTGGTGCGACTCTCAAGGAAGCACCAACGACTCCCACGGACTCTCGCTTCTTCATGCGACCTCCATCGAACTCATTCGTCGGTGCCGAGTAGACTCAGTTGCTAGGCGTCGACCTGCCAAGTCAAAGGTCATCGAGGGCCCTTGCTGTTGTAGGGCCCTCTAACAGCTAGCGATGATGAACACGATATGAATATATTAATTGTAAAGAAGAACATTTCAAAAACACTAAAGGAGGACCTTCATCGCATACTCAGCGACAGGTACCAAGGTAACGTCTTCATTGCAAAGAACTTGTCAGTGGCGGACTTGCTTGTCTCCTCAGTTTCGGAATGCGATCGTTCGCTAGCCGCGGCGTGTGACTTTGGTCGAAACGAGGTCTCGCGTACGGAAGAACAGATGCCGCCATGTCGACGGCTGACAAGATCGACGGAGCCAAGGTACTCTAAAATATTAGAACCTAATCTAACGCTACTACTGCGAGCTCTACCCTGAACGCGCGTTTCAGCGTGGGAGAATTGTAGGTCCTAAACGCATCAGCGTGCAGCAATGCTGTGCGTGACTAATCGCGTTCTATTTTCGATCAAGCCATGGATGGCACAGCCGTTGCTTGCATTCATCAGTAAGGCAGTGATACCAACTTTCTAGGTTTGAGGCGGGTCGAATTATGTACACTTTCGGTTCAAAGTACGCGGTTGAAAACGATTTTGTGCGTCTTAAAGCGGTTATCCAGCCTAAGTAGTCATACTTGAACCATGCCCGACCCGCCCTCAGCGGGCACGGACTTTCGGAAAGTTACGCTAGACGAGTTCATTTCCGTACGAAATCCGTCGCCAGCATTTCGCGAAAGCCCAACCGCCCTCGCCACACCTGCCTCACCCGTGCACTTCGGCAGCTCATCTCGCCAGCGCTGTTCGCCATCTGACACCACGCCAGGAAACCTTTTCCACCCGTCCACTCTACTCCACTGCCATTTCGCCTCGTTTCTTGCTTTCTGTTGGTGGAACGATGGAAGAACCCCACACATGGCCGCATGTGCGAGCAATGGTGCACTTGGGATCCAGCAATGCAGCGGCACATAAAGCCAAGTTCGTATCTGCCCTTCAGTCCATCCGGGCCCTGGTGGGTCGGTTCCCACTAGGGCCCCCTCCTGGTGGAAACGGGTTCCCACCAGGGCCGCACGCGGATGCCCGGTGTGTCGCGACCCCCAGCTGGGAATCGGCACGCGAGAGGGAGTCCCCCGCCCGCATGCAGGTCCCTAGCGAGATCCGGGCGGCGGAGCAGGCTGGCGGGGTGGTCCCGCGCCGAGCCCGGGCCACGCCAGCGCCACGCAGCGTGGTCCCAACCCCGGCCCCCCCCCCCCGGGCCCAGCCCTGGCTCGCGAAACCCCTCGCGAAACCCCTCGCTCTCCAATCCGAGGGCGAGGGCCGAACCCCGGCGCGCCGAGACGGATCCGGCCAATCGGAGCCGTTTCCGACTGGTCCGTCCCTCGGGAGAACCCTCGCGAGGCATTTCGCATGCGAATCCGCGCGTGCGAATGGCAGTTCGGGCTGGCCGAAACGGATTCGGCCAATGGGAGCCGGTTTCGGAGCGACGGGCGAAGCCATCTCCGTGCTGCCCGAAACGGAGCCGGCCAATCGCCGTCGTTTACGAGCGTCGGAATGCTCGCAGGACCCTCGCGAACAATCGTTCGCGGAAAGATTAAATGTACGGAGCGGAGTGTACGCCATTAGAAAGATCAAACGAAACAAATCTTAATTTTTTCCTTTATAAATCTCTCTAATGCATCGGGGAACCATTCAGTTGCGAGTTTACGTGTAATATAACGGAGTGTACTGTTAATTCGGGTGACCCTAATTGGTGTACCCGATCGTTGCCTCGGACCTCGGCGGTCGCGACGAGGAAAATTCTCTCTCCGCGGGAGTTGGCAGCCCGCTCCGAACGGGGCTCGCGGATGGTGTGCAACGTGGCGGACGTTGGATGCACAAGCGTGCATGTTGCGGAACCTCCCCGCTGGGTGAGAGGCCCGCGCAGTGTGACCGCGAGTGCCGTCTCTTGTTTCCATCTCGGCCCACTCTTAGGTTCTCGGTACGGGCACCTGGTGCTCATTTTCGTTCTCCGTCTTCACATCTTGTTTTCTTCCTACTCGCCCGTTCCCCGTAGAGGTCCTCGTCGCCTAGTGCTAGCAGAGACTCTGCTTGGCCGCGTTCGCGCTTGGTAGCGTCTAGCGTAGCTCTCATTTTCTGCCGCAAGCACAGTTTCGCGTACCGTTCGTCCTAGATACACGCGAGCACTGTTTCGCGTACGTTTCGTCCTAGATACACGGTACCTTTGGTCGCGCTTTTGCGGTCGTACCAGTTATGAACCGCGAAATGAAGGCGCTTAGAGCTGGGTCGAAGGAGGCCGCCTCCTGTCCGGCCATCATCTCTGTTGCGGGAGCCACGGTGGACCTCCCCCCCGAACAGTGGAAGCTGCTCGCAGAGGATAAGCATCCTCTCACGGCCCGTCTGTTCGACTTTGTCACCGGGTGAGATCCATCCGTTCCATTCCCTGACTCTAATATGCACGCGTTGTTTATGGTCGCGGTGTTTAGGCTGTTCGCGACTTGTCAGCGATAGTTACTAGTGGGCAGTGCAGGCCGCGGCATACCTCCGCTGTGCTTTTAGGTCGCGTTGTTTATGTTTGAGCTTTTCCCTGCCTTGTTTTACACCGTCCCGCACAGCGTGATTGTCCGGAGGTATCTGGAGAAGGAGTTGCATGAGCACGTCCGAATCGTGACGCGCGGTGTTGTCGCGGACATAGTCGCGGGTCGCGATGAAGCGGTCCAAGCCTTTGCCGGTTTGATGGAGTGCAGCCTGGTGGTTTTCTGCATCTGGTCCGAGTGAGTTTTCAGTGGGAGTGTTCACTTGTACAGGGATTGCACTCGTTTAAGTGGTTTAACGCGGTCGTCAATGGCACGTTCAGGGACCTGGTCGACAAGAAGAGCTCGAACGCGAGCATGCTCATTCTGCTTCACCCCGACCACTTGTCGCTTGACGGTGACGAGACGTGGAACACGCGGTTCATTCGCGTTGCTATTCCCACTGGTGGTGCGGAACACGTCACCGCGGCTGATGCGATTGTGGAGTGAGTACCGCGTACTGGTTTATCATCAGTACCACGTTCATTTCCGCTCCGAGGCTCATGTCGCTAACCGTGCGTTCGCGTGGATATGTATGTGCTTTTGGGCAGGTGGTTTCAGGGTCGCGTCGACGAGGATTTTGCGCGCGGCTCCATTCAGTGCACCCGCTCCCGCCAGCTTAAGGATCCCAAGCGTCTGTTGGATCTGGTACGTCTGTGTTGTGTACGTGTTCTCGATGACCGCCAATAGTTGCAGTGGTGCTAACAAGCCCCATGTAATGTTTTCCAGGACGCGACGTCATTGAAGGGCTCCTGCGGCAACATCGCTTGTCTGTTCGCGTTCGACAAGATCCTTGCCCAGTTGGACGCGGTCGCTGCCAGTGGATCCGGGCCGCAATTCTCGAGGCCAACCGCGAAGACTCTGAATGCACTGCGGCATGAGGCGTACCAAACCGCCGAAGAGCTCGCGTTCAACTTGAGCGTGGATTTGACGCGACCCATGCAAGGCGGTGAGGCTGAAAGTGCTGAAACGGGGAAGGTGCAGAAAGTGGCTACGGGTGCGCAGGTTGCTGACCATGGTGTTCTTGCTCTCACAGGTGCTGCTGGTGTTTCGAACCGCGGAGGTGCTCGGGGGGGGACGGTGGTCCACGCTGATGACGAAGGGGCCGAGGATACCGCGACTAAGGGTGCAACCCGCGATGAGGCTGACCGCGCTGTTGCGCGTGAGGGGGAGGAGTCGAGCGAGGAGGAGGCGGAGGCTCACGTGGTAGCGGACGCGGCATCCAGCAGGCCCACTACATCCGGCAAGAGCATCAAGCACCTCGCGCAGCAATTGGCCCCCGGTGCTGGAAGCGCGGGCCCGAGTGGTGAGGTCGCGGGCAAGAGTCCCGTGACAGGTCCGCGTGATCACGCGTCCCTGTCCTCGTTGCCATCGCATAAGCTTGCTGCCGAGATCCTGCAGCTCGAATTCAGGCTTGCAGCGCTGGCCGAAGAGAACGCACGGCTGAAGAAACGCCAGGAGTCGGGGGTTGGTGGGGTCGCGGTCGTGGGCTCTGAGGAGCTTGCGTCCGCGCTTGCTAATGCGGTTCGGGTGTTGGAGAAGGAGGCGAGGGCGATCGCGCAGGAAAGAGCGGCCCTGGTCGATACTCGTAACCAGGAGGCGTTGGTGCTGGGGCGAGTGGACGCGAGGCTGGGACAGCTGCAGGGGGTTGTGACAGACTCCATGGAAGCCGCTCAGAAGAAGCTGACGGACGAGGTTGCGCGGAAGATCGACAACATGTCGACCGCGGTCTCCGCGACAGCATAGCGGGCAATCACCACCAGCGGGGTCACGAACGCGCTGCACACCCTCATCGCGCTCGTTGGAGGAGCCCCCCCGCCGCGCACGGATAATGAAGGAACGGCCGCGACGGAGATTGCCGAGCCCGGGGATGCAGAGCTTGGAAAGCGGGCAGCGGGTGCGAAGGCGGAGAATCAACAGGGGGCGAAGAGGCAGAGAGGTCCCCAGGCAGCGGGCGCGGTGCGCAATCCGAGCGTGCAGGACATGCTGAAGCAGAAGTGGGGCGATGCATCGCGAGGTGCACCACCGCCTGGTCAACCGGGTTCGAGCTCGCGCTCCATCCCACCTGGAGAAGTTGCACCCAAACCACCGGGCCCTGCCGGGGCAACCGCGACAGTGACAAGTACTGTGGGTCGGGGCAAGGGTAAGGCGGAGGATGGAGAGGCGCCGGCTGCTGCGGGTTCGCTGGCCTCGAGGCGTGAGGTCCAGTCCGCGGCGGGTGCTGCGGCAGAGGGCAGGCAGACCACGCTCGCACCCGCTCGTGCCTCAATCACCGCGGGACATCTGCACAGCGCACTGGCATCTGCAAGTCCTATCGCGACCTCGGTCGAGGGCAAGGCAGAGAAACGCGGACGGGGTGGCAAGAAGTTGCCCACTCCGCTCGTGTACACGATCGACGAGGACGATGCGGATGAGGAGCTGGAGGGTCTCGTGAGCAGGTGGGTCGAGGCGGGCGACGGAGGAGAGAAGGGTGGGGAGGCCGCGGTCGATATTTATAGCGGCGGAGAGAGCGCGGACGAGCAAGACGGAGACCCCGTGATCGTGGAAAGTGGCACAACGGGAGGACATGGTGACACCGGCCCCAAGCGCAAGGGCTGCAGCATCCGCGCTCCACCCAGGGGCGGGCCCGGATTGGTTTCTGAACCCCATCTGGGGGGGAAGAAGCGATGGCTCGGACACGGCGACCGCGAAGACCTGCAGTACAAGACCGCGATCGCGATGTATCCATACGACGGGAAGGTCGACCCCGGGCTGAACCTGAGCCAGAAGCAGATCCGAGAGTGGGCCGCGGACCTGTCCAACGCCGAGAGGTTACATACGGGCCTCTTAATCACCATGCACTACCGCAACCTCGTGGCAAGCAAGGACAGGTGAGCTGTGCCAATCCACCATCATCTAGTGCGTTCATACGGTTTGGTATGTTATCATGTTCTGGCCGCTCCAACCCACTGCGTGGCAGGTGGCAACGCATGTTCGATTCCTATCGCAGGCTTACCAAGCCCGGAATGCACACCACCAACGTGATTGCATGGGCCGCGGTGGTAGGCAAGGAGGCTGCAGCAGAAGAAGCGGATCTCGGCGACGTGGAGCCGACGGACTACGCGGGAGCGATCGCATGCGCCATTGCAATGGTGTGGGAGGTCACTCGCGGTTCTAACGTCACTGCCGCAGCGGATAATGGAAACCTGGCCGCGCGTGCTGCTGGTTGCTATGGAGAGCGAAGCCGTCTCTTCCCCGTAGTATCCGCGTACGTCATCAATGCGGTGCGGAAGCGCAATTGCCGCGAGGAAGATGAGCCACAGGTTGTCGCGGACCCGAAGGCGGTCGCCGCCGCGATCGTGTCCGGAGTCGTGAGCGAGGTCGTTGCAAAGTCTCGCGATCTCAGGCACATTGAGTTGGCCGCCCGCGAAACGGTGGACGTTATCATCACCTGGTGCGACTGCTCGGTGGCAGGGAAGCAGATGGAGTCCTTGGGTTTGTACCTTGCCCTGCCCAAGGATCGTCTGAAGAAGCGCACTTGAGTGCGTGTAGTATCGCGTAGCATGTGCACAGCCTGTCCGCCATGCTTGAGTTCTACTCGCGGTGGATTGTGCTGGTGCCTGTAGTAAATCGTGTGTGTGTGTGTGTGTGTGTGTGTGTGTGTTCGTGTGCGTGTGCGTGTGCGCGTGAGAACCTAGTGTTGACATTTGGAACAATATGTGAAGGTTTGTAGGATTCAGTGGGTGCGTGTGTTTGCGTGTGTGCCATTTTAGTAGTAATCTGCATTCGTCTCAGGTATTCCCACACATTATCATTGTACACACTACGACGCGAACAATCTATGTACATTAGGCAATAGCAGCCCGCACGGCCGCGATGTAAATCAGCACTATCTGACCGCGGAACAACAACAGCCCGCGATCACCACGGCTGCGATATAAATCAGCAAAATATTCGCGCAAAAAAACAACACTCGCGGTCGATTATAGGGACCCATAACATCGCACCCGAAGACGGTGATATGAAGACGAACAACAGCGGGGTTAATCCATTTACTGCAAGTCTGGCATCAGCGCACAGTACTGGGGCCACGCGACCGTGAACTCAGAAGCGGGAAGAGAGGCATTGATGAGACGGTCGCGAACAAGCATCCATTTCACACGCAACTGCACCTCCACCGGAGAACCCTTCTTGAGCTGGCTCAGTTCAAGGTCAACACTCTTCTTCTTTACCGCGATCCCTTCCGATACACCCGACATGCCCACAGCACTTGACATGAGGTCGAGCTTGTCGAGCACTACCGCGATGTCGTCTCCTTGCTCCACCCTGTGGGCGATGAAGTTCATGATTCGCTTAACACGGTTTATCGCGTTCTGGCCGCCTCCCTCCTCCCCAATGAGCGCGGCCATTCGCGTAACTGCGCCGCGGGGTTGGGCCCGAAGCGACTTTGGACTCTCGAGGATCAGCGGGTGCATTGTCTTGTACAGCTTCCATCCGTCTGACGGTTTGGTGGCGTTGACCCATGGAAGGACGATCGCGTCCCGAATCGTCTGTTCCCTGGTTGGCGCTGCGGGTTTCTTCCGCGTCCCCTGCTCGGTGGGAGCTGTGGCATTGGTCGACGCGGCCGCGGCTCCAGGAGTGGTTGCCTGGTTCGGAACCGCGGTCGGCCCTGAGCTGCTCACGGTGAGCCACGACAGCTGGGCCTCCAAATCATTCACGCGCTCGTCCTTCTCGGCCAGTTTCCGATCGCGATCCTCCAGCAGCCCCTCCAGCTCTTTCACCCGTTTATGAGTCGCGACCAACTCTAGGCCCAGTCTGGTGTTGTCCGCTTGTGAACGAGTCAAGTACTCAGTGAGGACGGTCACTTGGTTCTGCGCGTCCATTCTGGTACTCACCTCCTACATGGACAGAAAGCGACCGCGAACTTGTTATGGTTTGGCACTGACATCACGGAAGAAACATAACGCGACCATTCAGTACTTACTGCGGGCTGGGTCAGTGTAGGTGTGTTGCGCTGTACTATGGCGAGTTGATTTGCCAATGAGACATCTGCAGCCCACGACGCAAATTCCTCCGTCTGACAGAGCGGGTTGTTGACCACGTACGGGTGTCGTGGCTGGTGGATGTAATACATCGCCAGGTATTGCGCGACCGCCATCCTAGCGTCCCCATCCAGCTCCTTCAGTATGTTTAGCCCCGCGGTGTCCTGCTTCTCCGGCTTCTGCGTTTTCACCATCTTGCGGTTGTAATCCTTGCACTGTGACAATAAAACAACAAGGCAGTGAACGCGGTGCCAGAGTGGTATGTGAGATGCTCGCGGTCGCGTATGCGCGGACCACACATACCTGTTGCTGTCCTTTGTCCGTGGCGGCCCATGGGAAAATGTGCTTCCTCAGTAGCTCATCCAGCTTATCGCTGACCGGAACAGTTGCGCGACCCAGGAAGTAGTCACCGTCAACCCCGGTGAAGCCCGCCTTCAGCAGCACGGCCTCCCTTGGAATGGTTGTGAGGTAGTGCTTAGTCATCACGTCAATGAAGCGCCAACCCCCCAGCCTCGCCAGCTGATCCGAAGGCATTCCGTCTGCGGACGCGTGCTGCGCCCCCCCAGCCCTGGTCGCGTGTACCGCACGCGAGCATGTGATTCCCGCGTCCTGGAGAATTTTCGCCGCCCAGTCGTGATGAGTCGTGGGCGGTATTTGCTTCTCGTTGCCCGCGCGAAGGGGGAAGAACAGGTATTGATCGTACCACGTGGAGGGTTCCGTGAAGTCGAGAGGGGGGGCTATGTCCCCATAGAGGATGGGAACCAAGTCGTACACCCAGTGCAGCCACAGCAGCGTGGCTCCGACCGCGCACAACGTCCAATCTATGTGCCTCACAGCAGATATGTAGTTGAGCGAGAAGTCCTTGTTTGTCTTGCCCGTCCTGCACGCGCAAACAAACATGAACGCGTTTCTCACTGGATCGGTCTCCGATTTTGCGCCTAGCTTCCACATCCTCATGTCTGGCAGCTGCAGGTTTCTGATCGTGCATCTGCGGGCCAGAGTGTGATGACCGAGCACGGTCATCGTCCGGATGCAGAGGTCGCGATGCATTGCCTGCGTGTATGCTTTCTTGGCTAGTGTGAAGCTGGTCAAGATTGCGTCCATGCTGGTCTTCCGCATCATATGCTTGAACTTGTCCGGGGTGTACGTGTCCGCGGCCGTGCCCCTCAACAGCCACACGCCTGTCAGCTAGCGAGCTGTCAGCGCCGCACCAGGGGCGCGTTCATTAACAAGAACAAGCGTGATTATGCTAGACAAGGGTGTTAGCTAAATCAGACTAGGCAAATTTAATAGTATGGAAAATCAGACTAAGCTCCAGCATTCGTATGGAAAATCAGACCAGAAAAACATGCCTGTCTGATTGTCAGACGAAACGATTTTTTACTTTGGTGTTTTCAGACAGGCCGAAATCCTAGCAAGAGCCCTAGCTGTGACTCATCCAAATAACAATCATGCGCTCTGTGGGAAAGCGAGGAAGATATCTGTGAAAGCAGGTCCTTCTAGTGTTGGTTTGAGAGCACTGTAATTATTGTAGAAACTATTTAACAAAGGTCGCTTCCACCCGTTAGCTCACTGTCGAGACTTAGGCAAGGGTGAGTTCGAGTATCGAGAGAGTTGGTACAAGAGGAAAACCCTAAGGGGTTATTGTCAAACTCATATGCTATAGTCTGTGTAGGCTGTAGTGGGGTAGACAATATGGGGTACAACACTTTTAGGTTTTCCTACTTGTACCCACCTGCTTGCTAGTTCATTCCATTCCTCGTTCTTTCACATGGTATAGAGCAGGTTCCCTAGTGGGAACGCTTCTCAGGGCCCACCACTGAAATCGACTTTTTTTCTGACCGGAGCGCGAGTCGCTCCTGCCCGAGGCGCGCCCCGTGGGCCGCCCTTCTGTCGAGCCCTCCTCCAGGCCCCTCGAGCCACCCTTAGCGGCCCCGTCGCCACCCCTAGCGGCCCCGTCGCCGCCCTTCTAGGCCCCTCGAGGCCCCTTCGCGGCTCCGTCGCCCCCCCCCCTAGCGGCCCCGTCGCCGCCCTTCCAGGCCCCTCGCGGCCCCTACGCGGCCCCGTCGCCGCCCCTACCGGCCCCGTCGCCGCCCCTACGTGGCCCCGTCGCCGCCCCTACCGGCCCCGTCGCCGCCCCTACGCGGCCCCGTCGCCACCCCTAGCGGCCCCTTTGCCGCCCCTAGCGGCCCCGTCGCCGCCCCTCGCGGCCCCGTAGCCGCCCCTCGCGGCCCCGTCGCCGCCCCTACCGGCCCCGTCGCCGCCCCTATGCGGCCCCGTCGCCGCCCCTACCGGCCCCGTTGCCGCCCCTACGCGGCCCCGTCGCCGCCCCTAGCGGCCCCGTCGCCGCCCCTCGCGGCCCCGTCGCCGCCCCTCACGGCCCCGTCGCCGCCCTTAGCGGCCCCGTCGCCGCCCCTTCCGGCCCCGTCGCCGCCCCTTTCGGCCCCTCCCCGGCCCCTTTCACCGCCGAGCTGCCGAGCAGCCGGACAGCCGAGCAGCCGAGCCGCCGAACCGCCGAGCCGCTGAGCCGCCCAGCAGTCGATCCGCCGAGCCGCCCAGCAGCCGAGCCGCCGAGCCGCCCAGCAGTCGAGCCGCCGAGGCCACTCTCGAGCCGCTGCTACCACGGTTGCCGCCCTGTTTCTTCCGGCGCGCCCCGGCCCTACCCACCCGGACTGGTGAGAGCACTCCCTGCTAGACCACTGCTGTCATGGCTACCCCCAGTGTCCTTACGTTTGATACTGAGGGTCATGCTGTTGACTTCGAGGTCTGGGTAGATGACCTATAGCTCTACCTACAGTGCGATAGGGCAGACGGACTCTCCCTGTTCGATCTCACCTCTGGTGCCTCTCCTGCCCCGCCTACTGATGCTGACAGCACTGTTCACTCATAGTGGGCCACACGCGATGCTGCTGCCCATCTTGCTGTGCGTCGCCACTTACCGACCGCTGAGCGTGCGCACATTAGTCAGTACAAGAGTGCTAAGACCTTGTACGACGCTATAGTTGCACACTACTCTTCCCCTGCCACTGCTCCCCTTAGTCGCCTCATACTGCCGTACCTGTTTCTTGACCTCGCCGCCTTTCCCACTGTCGCTGACCTCGTTACGCACCTTCGCACTAGTGATACCCGCTACCGCGCTGCGCTTCCTGCTGAGTTCTGCGCCAAGAACCCCCCCCCCATGTACATCACCCTCTACTACATAGTCACCCGGCTCCCTAACTCCCTTCGCTCGGTGAGGGACCACTTCCTCTCTGTTTGCCCCACCACTCTCACCGTTGACCTCCTCGAGGAGCGCCTCCTGGCAGCTGAGAAGAGTATAGTTGCTATAGGAGCCTCTCGAGGTGACCCGCGTGCCCCTGTCTTTGAGGGGTGCTCCCCCTCCCCCCTTTTGCCCTCTGTTGCCTCTGCTGCTGCCGTCGACTTCGTTGGCACCGAGTCGGTCGGCGCTGCGTCTGCCCCTAGCGGGCAACGCCGCAACGGCAAAGGCAAGGGGGGCAAGGGCGCCGGAGGGGCTGGCGGGGGCGGTGGAGGTGGAGGTTGAGGAGGCGGAGGGAGTGGGGGTGGTAGTGGGAGTGGTGGCGGGGGTGGGGGCTTCGGTGACGGCGGTGGCGGCAGAGGCGGCGGTGGCGGCGGAGGCGGAGGTGGCGGTGGCGGTGGGAGCTGAGGAAGAGGCGGTGGTGGCGGTGGCGGAGGTGGCGGCGGAGGAGGTGGAGCTAGTCGAGGTGGCTCTGCACAGCGGGGCGGCTTAGGTGGTGGTCAGCGCCAGTAGCAGCAGCGCACTCTTGAGACCCCGTCCCCCCAGCAGCTTCGTGAGTGGTACACTGGGCGTCAGCGAGGTGGGGGTACTGGTCTCTGTACCTACGTCCTCCGCTCCGGCGACCGCGCTGGTGAGCAGTGCGGGGGCTTGCACTCCACCCAGCGCTGCTTCGGCCGCCTGACGGACGCTTGGCGTCACCAGTTCCCCGACGCCACTGAGATCCCTCGCTGGGGAGAGCTGTCTAGGGCGGGGGTTGCTATCTTTGATCTTGACTATGATGCTACTCTTGCTGCCATGTATGCTGTGTCTACTAGAGATGAGGGTAACTGTTACCTGTGTGTTCCGCCTGACCCGGGCATTGAGGCTGCTGCTCTAGGTGCTAGTGAGGCTGCTGCTCTAGGTGCTAGTGCGTCTGCTGCCCCAGGTGCTGGTGAGTCTGCTCTCTCAGGTACCACGTCGGCTCAGGCCTTACACACCTTCACCCTTGACTCGGGTGCTTCCCGCTCCTTCTTTCGAGACCGCACCACGCTTACGCCGCTTGGTCGGCCGGTTGCGGTCTCTCTGGCGGACCCATCTGGGGGTCCTGTCCTTGCTCGCTTCTCCACTGTCTTACCGTGTCCGGCAGCCCCCTCTGGCACCGTGTCAGGTCTCTACCTCCCCTTGTTCTCTACGAACTTGGTGGGTGGTGCTGATCTACAGGATGGGGGGGTTGACCAGTTCACTTCTGCGAGTCAGCGGGTGACCCACTGTACGTGTGCTCGGACGGGCCGACACTTGGCCACGTTTACCCGTCGGGCGGGGTCAAGCCTGTACACACGGACTACTGAGTCTCCTCTGGTTGCTGGAGCTGGAGCTGCTGGGGGTGTTGGGGCTGGAGGTACTGCTGGCGCTGGTGCGTCTGAGGGTGCTGGAGTTGGCGCTGTTGGAGCTGGAGGTGCTGCTGGCGCTGGTGCTGCCGCTGGGGGTACTGGTGCTGTCCCTGCTGGTTCTGGAGGCGCTCCGCGGCCGCGGCCGTTCTTCGTTCCGCTCCTTGAGCAGGTTCTTGGTCTCCTGCCCTCTACTGGTCCTGCTCCTCCCTTAGAGTGTCCACAGCCTGTCCAGTCGCGGTCACAGTTACAGCCCGCCTCCCCCCTTCCTGCTCCTTCTCCCTACACTGGTCCTAATGGAGGTCTTGCTGAGCGTCGTGAGCCTGCGTCTCGTCCTGCGTCGCCTGTTCGTGCTGCTTGCACTAGTAGTCGTGCTCCGTGTCCGCGTCCTCCCGCGGTCCTAGGCACACACCAGATGGCATTGCGTCCTTCCACTGCTCCTCTGCGTGTCCAGTTGCTATCTCCTCCAGAGTCCTCTCTTCCTGTCCTTGCTGACCCGGAGTCTGACTCTCTTCGTGCTGCCAGTCCTACTGTCACGCGTCTCCTGGCTACTGTTGTCACTGACCCTTCCTTTGAGTCCACTGCTGCGTCTGCCTTAGTTGCTGAGCTTGTCGACTTTGCTGCTCGCTGTCGTCTAGACTACGCTGCTAGCCTTGTTGCTGAGTCTGAGTCTGTCTGTCCTCCGTCCGTTGGGGGTGCGTGTGCTCTTCGCACGGACGTCCTTGAGGACAGGCAGGAGGAGTTCCAGTGTTTTGCTGCTGCTTTGCCTCATCTCGTGTCCACGCTGATTGCCCCTGAGGGAGACCCGGATGCACCAGACATCCCGACTCCTCGATCGTACGCTAAGGCGATCGAGAGTCCCTACTCCTCTCAGTGGCAGTCAGCCATGGACACAGAGATGGCTTCCTGGAAGTCCATAGACACCTACGTCGACGAGGTTCCCCCACCTGGGGCGAACATCGTCAGTGGCATGTGGATTTTCAAGGTGAAGCGGCCGCCGGGTTCTCCGCCTGTCTTCAAGGCGCGTTACGTGGCTCAAGGCTTCAGTCAGCGGCAGGGAGTTGACTACTTTCGGACCTTTTCTCCCACCCTGAAGATGACCACTCTTTGGGTGCTGCTGCACATAGCCGCTCAGCGCGACTACGAGCTTCACTCCCTTGACTTTAGCACAGCTTTCCTGCAGGGCAGCCTGCACAAGGAGATCTGGCTGTGCCGCCCACCTGGCTTCACTGGGTCGTTTCCCCCTGGTACCCAGTGGAGCCTCCGGTGGCCAGTCTACGGTCTCCGCCAGGCGCCCCGTGAGTGGCACGACACACTGAGGACTACACTTGCGGCTCTTGGGTTTGCTCCTTCTACTGCCGACCCGTCGCTGTTTCTGCGCACCGACACCTCGTTGCCGCCGTTCTACATCCTCGTGTACGTCGACGACTTGGTCTTTGCCACAGCTGACACTGCTGGACTCGCCAACGTGAAGTTTGAGCTGCAGAAGAGACACACGTGCACAGACCTGGGTGAACTGCGCAGCTACCTTGGCTTGCAGATCACCCGGGACAGAGCACAGCGCACCATTACCCTGACTCAGTCACACATGGTGCAGCAGGTCCTTCAGCGCTTCGGCTTCACGCACTCCTCGCCTCAGGCCACTCCTCTGTCTACTCGTCACTCGCTCTCAGCTCTGCCTTCGGATGAGTCCGTAGAGCCGAGTGGCCCGTACCCAGAGCTTGTTGGCTGCCTCATGTACCTGATGACCTGCACACGACCTGACCTTGCATACCCTCTTAACATCTTGGCACGCTATGTTGCTCCTGGGAGACACCGACCAGAGCACATGGCTGCGGCGAAGAGGGTGTTGCGCTACTTGTGCAGTACGTCGGGCATGGGGCTAGTGCTTGGAGGGCGACGTCCAGTGGTCCTCACACGTCATGCAGACGCTTCTTGGGCTGACGACCAGGCTACGCAGCGGTCGTCACAGGGTTGCACCTTCAGCCTTGGTTCCGGCTCTGTTTCGTGGCGGTCTACCCGTTCGTCTTCTGTCTCGGCTCCAGCTGTGAGGCTGAGATCTACCCGGGGGCCATGGCTGCACAGGAGCTACGCTGGCTCACCTACCTGCTAGCTGACCTAGGAGTGCGGCCTCGTTCTCCTCCAGTTCTGTACGTAGACAACAAGGCCATGCTGGCCTTGTGTCGGGAGCACAGACTGGAGCACAGAACGAAGCACATTGCTCTTCGCTACTTCCTTGCTCGTGAGCTGCAGCACCGTGGTCAGCTGCGCCTTGCTTACGTGGCCTCTGAGGCCAACACTGCTGATATCTTTACCAAGGCGCTTCCGCTTTGTGATCATCAGCGCTTCTGTACGATGCTAGGTCTTATGCCTACTTGGCCACACTTGCTCACTTCTTGACCTTGCTTGTACTGTGATCTTTCTATACCTGCGCTTGCTTGTTTACCTTTATATATGATCTTGCATGTGAACTGGCCTTGTGGCCTTGACCTTGTGCTCGCAATGTGTGGTGACGTTGTGATCCACCCTGAGCTTGCTTTGCTTTGCTTGACTGGTCTTGTGACCTCTTGTTCTCCCCCACTTTTCCTATGGGGGTGTGTCAAACTCATATGCTATAGTCTGTGTAGGCTGTACTGGGGTAGACAATATGGGGTACAATACTTTTAGGTTTTCCTACTTGTACCCACATGCTTGCTAGTTCATTCCATTCCTCGTTCTTTCACAGTTACACCTCACACTATCTACCCCACTACAACCTAGCAATAACACTAACATATATATAAATGTTTGACACACCCCCATAGGCTAAGTGGGGGAGAGCAGGAGATCACAAGACCAGTCAAGAAAAGCAAAACAAGCTCAGGGTGGATCACAACGTCACCACACACACTAAGCACAAGTAAAGGGCCATAAGGCCAGTTCACATGCAGAGACATATATGCAACACAAACATCACAGTGAACTCTACCTAGCAATGCAAGCATGCAGGTATATATATATAGATCACAGTACAAGCAAGGCCTACAACAAGTGAGGAAAAGTGGGCACAAGCCCTAGCATAGTGCAGAAACGCTGATGATCACCAGCCTGAAGTGCCTTGGTAAATATATCAGCAGTGTTGGCCCGAGTGGCCACGTAACGCAGACGAAGCTGACCACGCTGCTGCAACTCTCGAGCTAGGAAGTAACGCAGAGCGATGTGCTTCGTTCTGTGCTCCAGTCTGTGCTCCTCACACAAGGCAATGGTAGCCTTGTTGTCGACGTACAGCACTGGAGGAGAACGAGGCCGCTCTCCCAAGTTAGTCAGCAGGTAGGTGAGCCAGCGTAACTCCTGTGCAGCCATGGTTGTGGCGTAGATCTCAGCCTCACAACTGGAGCTGAGAACTGAAGACGAGCGTGTAGAACGCCACGAAACTGATCCAGAGCTAAGGCTGAAGGTGTAACCCTGTGACGACCGTTGAGTAGCCTGGTCGTCAACCCAAGAACCGTCTGAGTGCCTAGTGAGAACAACTGAGCTCCTCCCTCCAAGCACGAGCCCCATGCCTGATGTACTGCACAAGTAGCGCAGTACCCTCTTAGCAGCATCCATATGCACCTTTCGGTGCCGACCAGGAGCCACGTAGCAAGCCAGAAGGCCAAGAGGGTACGCAAGGTCAGGACGAGTGCAGGTCATCAGGTACATGAGGCATCCCACTAGCTCTGGGTAAGGACCACTCGGCTCTACAGACTCGTCTAAAGGTGGAGCTGAGAGCGAGTGACCTGCAGCCAGAGGAGTGGCCTGTGCTGAGGACCAGGTGAAGCCGAATCGCTGAAGGACCTGCTGCACCATGTGTGACTGAGTCAGTGTGATGGTGCGGCGTGCTCTGTCCCGGGTGATCTGCAAGCCAAGATAGCCGCGCAGCTCACCCAGGTCTGTGCACGTGTGTCTCTTCTGCAGCTCCAACTTCACCAGGGCGAGAGCCTTAGTGTCAGCAGTGGCAAAGACCAAGTCGTCAACATACACGAGGATGTAGAACGGCGGCAGTGAAGTGTCGGTGCGTAGAAACAGCGACGGGTCAGCAGTCGACAGAGCAAACCCAAGAGCCGCAAGTGTCGTTCTCAGTGTGTCGTGCCACTCACGCGGCGCCTGACGGAGACCGTAGACTGGCCGCCGGAGGCTCCACTGGGTACCAGAAGGGAACGACCCAGTGAAGCCAGGAGGGCAGCGCAGCCATATCTCCTCGTGCAGGCTGCGCTGTAAGAAAAGCTATGCTGAAGTCAAGAGAGTGAAGCTCGTAGTCACGCTGAGCGGCAACGTGAAGCAGCACCCGAAGAGCTGTCATCTTCGGGGTGGGCGAGAAGGTCTGGAAGATGTCTACTCCCTCTTGCTGACTGAAACCTCGAGCAATGTAACGAGCCTTGAAGACAGGCGGAGAACGTGGCGGCCGCTTCACTCTGAAAATCCACATGCCACTGACGATGTTCGCCCCAGGAGGGGGAACCTCGTCGACGTAGGTGCCTGTGGACTTCGAGGATGCCATCTCTGCGTCCATGGTTGTCTGCCACTGAGAGGAGTACTCACCCGCGATCGCCTCTGCGTAAGAGCGCGGGGTCGGGATGTCTGGAGCATCCGGGTCTCCCTCAGGGGCAAGCAGCATGGACACGAGATGAGGCGCAGCGGCTGCAAGACACTCAATGTCCTCCTGCCTGTCCTCAAGGACGTCCGTGCCAAGAGCACACTCACCCCTGACGGACGGAGGACAGACAGACTCAGACTTAGCAACAAGATTAGTGGCGTAGTCTAGACGACAGGCAGCAGCAAAGTCAACAAGTTCAGCAACAAAGGCAGACGCAGCAGCAGACTGAAACGACGGGTAAGTGACAACTGAGGCTAGCAGACGCGTGACAGTAGAGTGAGCAACACGGGTGCGGTCAGACTCAGGCTCAGGAACGGTAGACAGAGAAGACGTAGGAGGGGACGGCAGGGGAACACGCTGTGGAGGAGAGGAAGGACGACGAACTACGAGGTGAGTGCCGGGGACAGCCGGCTGACGCGAACGAGGAACACGACGACCGGAACTACGAGAACGGACAGGCGAGACAGGACGCGATGCAGGCTCACGACGCTCAACAAAACCCCCTGTCTGCTCAGTGTTAGGAGAAGGAGCAGGCAGCAGTGAGCCAGGCTGTAACGGAAGACCAGTAGACGAAGGGAGACTAAAAACCTGGCGAAGCACAGAGTCAGGCAGTGGCTGAGACGACTGAGACGGCGGAGCGAAGAATAGGCGCGGCTGTGCAGTGCCACCAGCACCAGCAGCTCTAGCACCCCCAGCAGCTCCAGCA